TGTTACCCATTGTTGTAACATTCCATAGATAAACGATTATGACGGCTATTTTTCATTCGCGGAAATAAAAACGATTATTTTTGTATATCTTTGTAGAGTATTACTATACGATAATAATAATTACGCTTATATATTTTTCGATCTATTTGTTTCCAAACGCTATCAGTATCATAATATTTATTATCATTTAAATATTTTACTTTTTGCATTCTGTTTATTTTGCTCACCAAATATTCTATAATTTTAAATGAGTTTTACCACAAATAATTTCGAGAGAAATTGTGGTATAAATAGTACTACATTACCATTATTAATGGCTAGAAAGTACGTGCATCACTAGTTTGAAAATATGCATCCTAATTAACTACACTGTGAAAAGTATAGAAGTAATTACAAGTAATTTGAAGAAGCTGGGAAATTATCTGAATCAAATATGTGTTTGAATCAAATGTGTGTTTTACTTTTCTTTTACTGATTTTATGTTAGATTATTCCGTTGTTTTTGTAATATATTTCTTCTTGGAACACGAAATAGACCCAGCAATATTTAGGGCAATATTTAGGACTCTTTCATACCAATGTTTATCTGTGGACAAAAAATCCCTAAATCTAATTTTTGTTGTTAGAGGAATTACCATTTATTATGTGCTTGGGGGCTACGCTATATTTGGGCGTGTGAGATTCTTTCGAGTTCGGCAAGGGGTTCAGCGCTTTGGGTTGATGATTGATTGATTGATTGTTAGTGATTCCGGGCCCGTCAACAGCTAAGGTCATTCGTTCTCAGGAGGTAGCGGTGGTCTTCACCCGCTGGATGGGGAAGTCCGGCGCCGACCTACCTTCGGCTTGCGGGGTTTTCCTCAACCAGGTACCATCCACTAGCGAGACACCGCCCCAGCTGAGACAAGCTCTAAGCTTCGACCGGTGTCCTGGCGTGTGCGGCAGTGTGGTAGTGTGCGTGTGTGTAAGGAAGAGGTGAGGTTAGGACAAGAAAGAGGAAGCCCGTGACTCGCTTGTCAGGGTTCTGCTCCGGCATTCGATTGGTGTTAATCGGAGAATCCCCGGAAAACTACCGATCAGTGCAGCCGACCGCTAGAATTCTCCTCCACACAGCGACTGATTCCACTGAACTGACAAGCTAGTGTCGAAAATCCTGCCACCGCCCTAACTCAAACGAAGGACCTTCCGGTCAGAGGCACTGTAGTGACATCAGTTGTGACATCAGTCACCTCTCCCGGTCTGCGGATTAGATGTTCCACAGAAAGTCGACAGCTTTTAATAGTTATTTTTGTAACGAGCATTAATCAGCAGACAGTCTTTGTTTAGAACATGAGGTTCGGAATTGTGGTGGCGGCGAGTGCCTTTACGATTTATTACGTATAAGCAAATATTTTATAGTATATTGGGTTTCATTAAATTGATGTTACGTGATAGTGCTTGAACATTGTTTTTCTGGAATGTTTTTCGTCCTTTGTCAGCTTTTAGATTTTGCTTGAAAATCTTTGCCTGTATTTGCATGCACACATTCAAGGGATAATACGTGTATTTGCATACTTTATTCTCGGACTACCCGCACTCCGCACTGAATCCACCAAATGGAGCAAGTTTATGCTGCGTGATATCTCAAACCCCATTTGCACATTTTGACGGGGTTATGAACTGAGTATACGACTCATTTGTGAAAAATAAAAAGTTGCAATTTATGCCAAATGCCGTGCGTTGCCATTGAGATAAGACCGTTTCCAACGTGGTGCAACGGATAGCACACCTGGTCTTGTGACTGGCCATTTGCCACTTGGTAATGGTCGTATTCATGTACCAGTACATGTGAATATAATGTAGTCAAGTCGAGAAAGTCTATTTTCTCCTAGAGACGGAATGGAAGGTCTGCGTTATCTTGATTCGTGTCAATCTATTAAACGGAGTTCTGTTATGATGTACCTGATAAGAAAACGAAGATAGAAAACTGTATTGGAAACAAACATTACAGTAAATAAAGATTTCATGAACTTTTAGGCGAGTATTTTTTAAATGGGTCACTGGCGAAATTACACACGTAAAAATTTGAAGACATTTTTATTTTGGGTACTCTTATAATAAGGCTAATAACGCGTTGGAGTGTTCTTATATGCGAATATTTGAAAGAGGCAACGTTTTAGAGACGGAAGTGAATCCCGATTCTGAAAATGCGCGTGAACGGTACGCGTTGTGGGAGTTGATAACTTGATTTTTATTTGAAAATATATTTTTGTTTTTAAAATCTTTAATAAAAAATATATTTGAAGGTTGCGTATGGGTATGAATGTTTATGTGTATACTTCTTTATACAAAAACATTTCTTTTACGGAAAGTAGTATTATGCTATTATTGCGCTACTTGCAATGCTTCCGGCCTCAAGTCGGGAGTGTGGGTTTGACGCCACGTAGCGGCGTGCGTGGACCCGCGTTCAGCCGGGGCCGGGCTCCACGCCTCTCCAGAGCAGGGTGCAAACACACTCGTCATTTACCCTGGCGCACCTCGCCTAAACAGGTGGACGTGCCGTGTTCGGACCGCGTCGTTGCTGCGCTGTGGACGGGGCGGCGCGTCGGGCGTGTGGGCGGCGGGCTGTCCCAGTTCGTGAGAGCCTCTCCGCTCTGCTCGCGGCCGCGCCCCACCGCCCTCCCTCCCCCTCACCCCTCGCCCATGCGCCCGCAGCCTGCCCGGCGCGCTGACGCCCCACGCGCCCCAGATTTTGCCGACGGCGCCACCGCCCTGTTCCCCTTCCCCTCCCCAGCCCTTCGCCCTGCCCTGCCCTGCCCCGCCGCGACGCTTCCTCCCGCTATTGCCGCCGCCTTCCTCGCCTGCGCTTCTGCAGATCGCGAAATCCTAGTTCGCGCCTCTACTGTCACTCCGTTCCCGTCACTCGCGTTCCTGAAGCCGCACTTTCACTGTTAATATATTAACGCGCTGCCACGCGACGTCTTTCGGAGATTTCGCCTTTATTTTCAATCACTCATTGTCTGGACGCATATCACGAATTCAACCCACCGTCATTTTGCGGCGGGTGGAGGAAATATGTTACTATCTCTCTGGTTTAGATCGATTACTATTTAATTTCATAAATTAGTGATATTTATGAATCAATTATAACATATTGTTATCGAGGTTCTTCGGTTAGAAGAAAATATTGGACTTGATAGTCAAATATTCATAAATAGTATTTTATTTTAGGTTGTAGGGGGGAGTGGTGAATAATAGTACTTGGCGGGCACAATGTGAAAGTTAGATCGCGAATGCAGAGTAGTGCTCACGTCAGTTATTTTAAAACGCATACCCGTACCTTCGTTGAAACGTGTATAGTCAGCTGCCCGGAAATGTTATGGGGCAGCTGAGACTAACGGGTAGTGGTTGATATAAAGGTAAAGCATAGTTCGGTATTGAACGGATGCGTGAAGGTGGCGTCACTCTGACGTTATCACACCTTTCAAAGGTAGTTCTGAGCAGGTAGTCATAACTTGGATGGACAACACGTGTTTGAAGGTTGGACTTTGATGGAAAGTTACTAAGTGTGGTTGTGATGAACAGGTGGAGACAAAGTAAATCAGTCTTAAAGAATATATTAGTTAAGAAACAGTACTTCGAAGAATCTTGGACATATTTTATGACCGTTGGCGGTGAAGCATGATCGTATGACTGTTCAAATATTGTACGACATTTGCATTCAATGGCCAATGTTCAAAACTTGGAGATCTTATTACTCCATAGTCAAGGACATATAAACTACTGGATGGGTGTTATGGGTAACTTTGCAACTCGACTCACTCGTGAAGAACATAAACCATTCATATCCAACATCGTTACTGGTGATGAAAAATGGTGTCTTTATGTTCATATAAGCAAAAGAAATAAATCGCGTCCTCGCACAACACACACACAAACTAGTGGTGCTAAAACAGCACGTACTTTCTCACCGTATTTCACGCAAAATGTACTCATATTTTCAAAAAAATTAACATGACATTATTTCAAAATCTATCTTTAAGGAATGTATTTTATTAATGGAAAAATCTCTATCTTCAAATTGTTGTTGTAGGAAGACTCCGAACAAATTTTTAACTACTGTAATTTTTGACAAATACGGGTTTTCAAAGAACATGAGACGTTTCAATCGTCCTTCACACTATCCAACAACAAAATTAATCGAAATCCATGGCGCCGTTTTAGTTTTGAAAATTTAGAAAATGTCCTATGGGCTTTATGTAAAGTACCCCCAAAATTAAAACATCGGTTTCAAATTCAAGAGATTGTGACATCAGCCAGATCAGTTGGGGATATCAATTTTGGAGAAAATCAGCTGAGTGGTGGAGCCACCCAGATCCCCGAACAAATGCCAGTGACATAAAATTCGTCGTGTGATGGTGGGACGAAAAGAGTGCGGTGTCCTACAAATTGCTTCCTAAAGGTGTAGCCATTACTGATGACGTTCATTGCCAACAACTAAGGCGTTTTATAGTGCAATTCCAGAAAAAAACCAACAATATTGTATGAAGTGATTCTTCTGCTCCATAAGGTCACCCCGCACCTTGCTAACGTTCCCCTAAAAAATATTCAGGAATATTTACAATGTCATTCTACAGTCAGATAATTACCCTGCCCTTGCTTTCAAAGTTTCACCTTTTCCACTCTCTGTCTAACATTTCAAAGAACTTCCTTTCTGGAATAAAAAAACCCACTTCAAACATGGCTTGACAACGTATTAAATTTCAAACCAGCAGATTTCTACAGGTGAAATCGAGAAATTTCGGCTGTAGCGTTCGCAGGTGTCATGGATAGGGCAACGTAATATTTGCTATTGAAAAACCTCTCTTATGTCAATCTCGCATGTTGAATGAACTTCTGACAAACGCATGACTAATGCTTTAACATATATATATATATATATATATATATATATATATATATATATATATATATATATATATATATATATATATATTCTACGAGAACCAAATTCGTGCTCCAGAAATGGTAATTAGAAGAGTTAGCCAAAGATTAAGGAGAATAATAATTATTGGCACAAGCAGAAGTAATGCGAATATTAACAGCTTAAAACTAGTTTTGCAAGTGATTTTAGAAGAATTGATGATCGTCTAGTTATTAAATCTATTTAATGCAACGTACTTCAGGTCGGATCATTGTATTAGTGGAAATAAGTATGCCAGGTGCTAAGAAATTGGTCGAGTTACACAATCGAAGATTAAAGTTTATGTTCTCGGCTTAAATTTATTTAACTTATAATTATATTTGACCCTATCTTGATACTGTGAAGTTTTTGATAGACAAATAGTTATACGCTATAGGTACCTCTCTTACTGTACTGCCACTGCCGTCTCTGGCGTTACTAACACAACAATAAATCCTGTTTTAGTGTAAAAGACTAATATCGATTAAAACTGACACTACATCAAACACCTCTCAACAACCACAATAACCTGATCTTTTGTTATCTTCTTAATCATATTCGTCTTCCACTATACCCCCTCCGCAACTTTATAATTTACTCTACCTCCACTAATTACCTCTACCTCTCCTCTACCTCTCCTCTACCTCTCCTCTACCTCTCCTCTACCTCTCCTCTACCTCTCCTCTACCTCTAACTCTACCACTCCATTACTATACTCGTAAATCCCACTATCATCACCTCAACCACTTCTACAACACCATCATCTCCGCATTATCACTAAAATAAAATCACTTCTACGATCTCACATTCCCACACCCCCATTCTACTTCTCTGCCTCGCCACCGGACACCACCACACCTCAAAAATAACCACATCCGAAAAAAATGTATTGCATTACGCATTGTAACTTTGCAACGTGCCCCTCTTTGAATCTTTGACCATTACATTCCTTCTAAGCCTTGCCCACTCTCGCATGTCCACCCGCATGCCTCATTTTCTTAGTTTCCCCCTTCGGGAGGCTTGTCTTCCACCGACACCCACACTCGATTTCAGCAGTCATTTGCCCAACCGCCTGTAGCCTACACCATCACGCCTGCCGTGTCTTGCCCTGCCCTCGTTGGTGTAAAGGTTCGATTTACGTCTATTAGGGTCGCGTTTGCTGAGCGCCCGTTTCTTCCCGTGGGGTTTGTAATGTGGGTGGCGTCGTTGGCTGCCCCGTCCCGCCGCTTCCCTTTTCGCCCTGCCTTCGCTGCCGACGCCTCTTCCTGTCCCGGCTGCCTCCGGAAGCGAATGGCTTGCGTCGCCGGCTTCCCTCCCTGCTAATCGGAGATCTAGATCACACTCTTTACGTCGTTCGTATATCAAATACGTGCTATTTCGAGGCTTCATTTAGCGTGAAGTTTTGGAAGATACTCTTAAAATGTATAAAATAAAGTTTGTATTATTTTTACCATTCAGAAATGAAATTCCGTAAAATAGTCGCGGATTATTTTTCATTGCACTTCGCCATATTTTGTATTGACGTTATAAAAAATCTATTGTGATATTTTCTTTGTTGAAATAAATTTTAGTTATTTTTATTAGTAAGTAGATTAAAACATGTTGGTGTTTAGGACTGTAAAATATTTAGAGATAAATTGTGCCCTTAAAGCTACAGATTGCTGGAAACTTCTTTAACCAACAATCACAATTTGCAGTCTACGAGCATCAGGCTACACAGTCACTCAATCTGCAAAAATCTACACACAATTTAGAATCAACCCCTCTCATCTCGCTGATATATAGCAAAATTCCGAATAAAGAATGTTTGTATGTTTCCGGATTCAAAGTTGCTTATAAAATAGTTTCTGGAAACAAGAAAATTGTTCATGCTGGCACGTGATATGTTTATGCGAATAATGTTCACTCAGCATTGTAACATGTGAAAATATCAATAAAAGGAAAAGGAAAATTAAGTGAAAAAGATAAGCTACCTCCATTATCCACTTACTAGATCTGAATGCCTGGCAGCGTTCATGATTTATTTACGGTTATCTCATCTAAGTCCATATCACCATGTTGCGTACCCTCTACACTATTTTAACTTCCATTCAACTCCTCCTTCACATCAGGAGGTAAAATGTGGCAGCAGTCTTGGAGTGCGCACTACGGAGAGGTGAAGAGATTCGCCGAAATAAATTCTCGTATATGCAAGCAAGTGAAGTTCGCTGGAAAAATAGACGATTTACTCTTATTTCATGTATGGCGTGCTAATGAAAACGCTTTTCAGAACAGAAGAATTAAAACAAACTTTTTAAAATGAAATTTCAAATTCGAAAGAGTGTGTGTCGACTTTGTTGAATCGTCATGTCTGATTTTTTGTTATCATGAGTAAAGGTTTGGAAGTACTTCGTATTTGATTAGAGTTGACTCTCGTTTTGAAAAAAAACTGTTGTTGTGTCCGTAGGCAGCCACGAAGGAAGGTTTCCTGATGAAGCAGACGTGGTCCTTCAACCGGTGGCGCCGACGGTACTTCCAGCTGAAGGGCCACAAGCTGTACTACGCTAAGGACCCCAAGGTAAGAACTCGCTCATATCTGTTTGAAAACAGATTTAACATTCTTCTGGTATCAAGCTTGCAAAGTGGCATAAAAACGTTGCGTTTGACAACTTTAGTTCAAATTTCGTTACCGTCTTCATCCCGATTGCATAGAATTAGGCAAAGAAGAGATGAGATCAGTCTTCAGTAAGAACCTTACGAGTAAGGGATAAGTTTCCTTACTGCATCTCGTCGACGAACGTTTTCCGGATACTGGTTACTAAAAAGAAGAATAACAATTACGTACGCGTGCTTGTTTTGTTGTATATTTCTTATTTTGTCAGAATCTCTTGTAAAAACCAAATTAATCTTGTCACATGAACGTTTACGAAAATTCGCCATCTGACAGTATAGGAAACTGATAAAGATTTCTGACTATTACTCTTATCTTTAGAAACAGAAAATTGACGACAGTATTTCTACATTGAATTGAACTAAAATGCTGAAAAACACTCTTTGAACTGTGTAGTGAATACTCTTAACTCTGAATAGATTTTTTTTCAAATTTTGTGGTTGGTCTACATTTGTGACTTGGCCGACACCATACTCGATATCCATCTAGTGGCGCCTAGAAGCCTTCATGGTACTCTGTGATTATACCGCTCGGCTGGGCCAAGCCCATCTCAAGGTTCGTCTCCGCTTCGTCTCTCCCGAAGAATTGATCTCCTGGACAGCCTTTTGGTCCATCTCTGCTACCACACTCTTACTTGCATCTTTCTACTCGATTAGGTCAGTTCCCAATAGCACCATTGCTGGAATCCGTATTCGCATAGCTTGTTTCTTACGATCGCTTTACATTTTTGGGTGCGTCCAAGAGATAATATCAGAAAATGAGTTCTAGGATTATACAAGATGGATTGAAAATGCCCCCCCTCCCCCGACTAGTATGTGTGGTAGCGCAACATTTTAACTATGAAGTTGGGGCTGTAATTGCCATGAAGGCTCAAGGACTTCACCTTGTTCATAATTATGTCTCTTTGCTTATTGGAAGTACTCTTTAGTTTCCTAGTTTGATGAAATAATGATGAAATTGAAGGAGATAGGCGTGCATTCTATTAATTTTAAGATTTTATCCAATTTAATATTTTTACTGCAAAACCGGTTAGTAAGAGTAATTTATAACACGTCTAGGGCCTACTATCTTGCTTTAAAAAGTTCTAAAATGTGATTGAGAACCAAGCTCAAACTTAATTCTAAAGGAAACCTCTTAGTGCTTTAAATAAAAAGATTTGAACTAGGTTAGAGATTATCGGGAAAAATCCCGCTGAGGAGCGGCCTGGCGGCAGGCGATGAAGCTGTCGCCGTGCGCCGCCGCTTCGCTGTACGGCGCAGTGCACCCAGCCCGCCACTGCCGCTTCGCACACGTTTAGTGCTGGCGGGCGCTTCCCCGGCAGCGGAGGGGATCCTCGCCGGGCGATAAAACACGCGCCCAAGCTCACGCCCTCACCCTCGCCCGCTACATTGCTCACATCCTCTCCCGTTCCCTCTTTCACCCCCCCCTTCCTCAATCCCTCTCACATTCTCGTTTACTCCTTGTCTCATTTACTTGTGTACTCCCTCGCCCACTTTCTTGCCTATTCCCTCACTTTACTCCTCGCCCTTGCCCACACCCACACCTTCACTCACTCCTCGCCCGTTCTAGACCCCTTTTTTAATCTACTTTCTCGCCCACTCCCTCGACTAATCCTTTCCCCTCTCACACATTCCCTCTTCTCGGTTCCTCGCCTCATTCCTCATCCACTTCCTTATTCGCTGTCCGCGCTCACTCCCTCACTCGCTTCCTTACCCTCCGCGAAAGCCCTCGCTCACGCGTAGGCGCGCAGATACGCAGGCATTTCCACTACTGGCATGCGGAAGTGCCTCTGTTCAAAGACAGTTTAATCACGAATGGCAACTTAATATCATCGTCTGTATCTCTAAAGAGTCTCGTAGCATTTGTAATAACTGAACGGACCAATGTGACTACGTGTGTTCGAAATGGCATTTTTTGTCCTCGGTATATATCCAGGGTTTTAGACTCTTCAGAGCTATTGGGGAAAATTTTTTCCCGTAGCCAATTCGGAGAACGAGTAAAAGTGGGTCTCCTGGTCCCAGTACAATTAACTACTACGCTAAGGTGGTAGAGAAATTTTGCAACGGAAAAATCATTCACAATAAACATTAATTATGAAAACTACAAATAAACAAAGAGTCCCAGGTCGGGGTATGATGCAAATTCGAAGTTATTTTGTACACGCATGTTGATAACAATTGCATCGCAAAAGTGAGGATGTGTGATTATTAAGAGAAAAAGAAAACAGAATCTTACGACATTTACATAGCTTTTTGTAATTCTAGATGTATGCATTATCAGCTAATTGTGACTGACTACCGTCGTTATTGTAAAGCCTTCTATTAATTGACAATCGTTTAGATAAGTGAGTCGGCACATTACCTTGTCGTTGTCATGGTCCTTCGGCAATTGCGTGAGATGTGATGTGTGGAGCAGATCGCGGCCCTCTTCGATGTCGCGTTGAAGGCAGTCTGTTGGGATAGTTTTCCGCAGAAACTAATTTAGGACGCCGCCGCCGTGCAGGATTGCCGTCTTCCACGTACAGGTCAGCCAGAAGAGTCTAGGCTCAAACGGTGAATATGTTGTCGATGGCAACACTCGGTAACGTGATGTACACTTTCACGTATCTCGAGTGTTCGATTTTCTTCCGACTGTCACATGACCTCGGGTCGTATGTACGACAACTGTCGCTAAATGTTAGATATGCTTTCTCGTGATTGCAATGGTTAACGATGTATGCTTGAATCTTTGGCTCCCAGAGGCATTCTGTCCTCTCTGTTTGCAAGTCTTAATCTTTCTGCCTGATGCCTGAAAATGTGCTTCCGCCTGTAACCGAAACTCCCCGACTACCACGTGATTGCAAGCCGTGTTCGCATGCGTTATTTGAACTTCTATGAAACCCTGGATTACTGGGCAGCTGTGTCCTCCCTCTTCCTGACCTCGATAGCAGAACATCCCATTAGATTTTGATTGAAATTTTGTTTTTATTTCTACGCAGTAGAGCAAGGTGTTAGTCGGAGTTGCATACTTGTGCAAGTCAAAGTCATTTGACATATGGAACTCAGGGGACACTGTGTTCGGGTGCCTTTTCTTTTGTTGACCTTTGATTAGCGAGGGTGAAATTTTCATTTTTGAGAAGTGGTTGTGGGCTGGTTGCAGCGGTTTAACGTCATGGGCTCCCCCAAAAATTCTCCTCGGCTCGAGACTGTCGGGGAGCGGGGCGGGAATCCGAGGGGTTTCTTACGCAACACGATACGTAAGTAATTTAGGGCGAGAGTGCGCTACAGCGAGCGCATCTGCGCGGTGCAATATGTTTACGATTGGCGATAGGCTGCCTTAAGTTAAGTATTTTTAGAACAGTGTTTGTTTTTACTAGTAAAAATCAAATAACGATACTTTTTCATGACGCCACAGCATACAAAGTAAAACAGTTTGATTTTATCAGCAAAATTGCTCCACTCACACTCACTCATCACTATATCCAATACAAGTAAATACTAAAAATTGAAGATGATAAAATGAAACTTGGTGATGGATGGATGTACAGTATCCCGGGAGTTGATATGGGCCACCTTACTTTGAACTTTATAGTGAGTGAGTGAGTGAGTGATCTTTAGAGGTTTAGTTATGGACAGCCTGTCTCTTGGAGACCTATCGTCAGTTTTTGGGTTTTCTTCCGTGGGTTTGTTCTTAAGTTGCGACCTCCTCTCGCCCGTACAGGGACGAGGGATTGGGAGTCGGGAGGAGAGAGAAGTAAGGGTAGTTTTAATATTGAGGTGGGTTTTGGTAGCTCAGGGGAAGGGGAACGGGAAGGGATTAGGGAAAGGAGTGGGAGTAGGGGAGCTTAGGAAGGGTTGGGAGAAAGTGAAATGTCGTTCTTTGGTCCATCGTGGTCAGGTTGTTTTTAGTCCGTGGTGTTTCGATCGTTAGAGTTTGTTCTGTGTCACCGTTTTGGCCAAGTAGGGAGGCGGGGCGTTGGCAGGATATCGATGGATGTTTTTTACGGTATGTCTGGGGGGGGGTTAGGAGGGATATTGGTGTGGGGTATGATTAATTTCTGAATTGGGGGATAGGTAGTGAATTGTGTATGTTTGGACGAGTAATTGTGGAGGGCTATGTGAGTAAATAAATCAGTCTGTGGCATATTGCGGTACTTTCTCATAGTTGATTGAAGGCGGGTCAGTGAGGGGGAAGATAAGGGCGATGACTCTGTTTTCTGTTAGCGGTAAAGACTTTGTGTAGTTTATAATGGGATGGTATTATGAGCAACCGCGTAGAATGGGTCAGAGTGTGTTATTGTGGATCTTTTTTGGATTAGGAAATAGATGGGTTGGAGCAGGTAGTGGCGTGAGGGGATTTGGCTTGAGAATTCGGGTTTGGTTTTTATGTGGTTATTTTGGACTCGCGCACCATAAGGAGTCTGGGAGAGTGATGGAATGCACCGTGGGGTGTGCGTGAGTGTGGGTTTGAGTCAGGGAGGGGGAGGGTTTGGGGGTAATAGAGGCTTTTATTAGAGTACGGATGGGCTTGGGTGGGAGGGGTGGTGAAATCGGGACTCGGAGGAAGAGTTAAATTGCGGCACGGCGCGGAGGTGATTCGGAGTAGGGATAAATTTTGGGCGTTTCATAGGTGAGCCGGGAGAGGTTTATGAAGGAAGCAAGGAATGCAAATCATGGAATAGGAGGGGATTGTCTATAAGCTGGACCTGGGCAGCAGGATGTCGTGTAAGTGTATACTCGCGGAATAGGAGTTGAGTCCAGGGACGCCGGCTTTGGAATGGGGGTGTTGGGCGGATTTTTTGGAGTGTATGGAACTAGAGGATCTGAAGGTAGGTAGGTTGCTAAGAGAGTGGATGTGGTTCGGGATGCTGGGGACGGATTTCGTAGGGAGAATGGATGGGATGTTGGACTTGGTGTCGAGCTTGGGTG